GTGTGTGTTGTGTATGTGTCCTTTATGACTTTTCCATGTACTAGAGCAATAGTCACCAAACTAGGATGCTTCAGTCCAGTGGCATAACCCCAAGAGTTGTGTGGTCAGACGGTTGGCCAATAGTTTGCATCCCGATCTCCCTACATAAAAAAAAAAAGGTCAATCTTTCTTGGACACGGCTACCACATCCTCCTCCCATCCTAGTTGCCCACTACTTCCCTCCTCCTCCCACCAGCTCGCATGGTGTAGACCCCTGGGACAGTTATAACCTAATATCTACTCAGGTACCTGAAGCAGCTTGGCAGACAGATTCCCTGCCTTCATCCTGTGCCCCCACATCCTTCCCACCAGATCAGTTCAGGGCTGCTCTAGGCACCCCTTAAAGGCAGGAGGGGTCTGCTTCCAGAGGGAGTGGCCTCCTTGAGTGAGTTTCATAGGATGAGGAGGCATGCATGGGCTGAAATTCTCATTTCATCACATTTTCCCCTCTACTTCCATCAAAGGCACCACTGTCCTTCAATCTCCAATTTTCTCAGTCTTCTCTTCATCCTTGACTCCTCAGTCAGCCAGAGAGTCACCAACAATCTCTTAATCACCAGATCTGATGGCCTTCTTCCAGTCCTCTTCCTTCCTGACCTCTTCACACTGTTGGGTACTGTTGACTACCTTCTACTCCTGGACACTCATTCTTCCCTTTCTCGGTTGCTGAAATGAATGTAAATGGGTCGTCTATAAAAAACAACACCCCCCCCATCTGTACAATTAACTTAGAGACAGAATTTTCTAGTCTGTCTTAAAATTTTCCAAACAAAGTATTTCACTGGATTTTGAACTCATTTGTCATAAAATATGAAAATGCAAAACCATTCAGTGAGTTTGTAAGAATAGGTGATTGGCATCAGGTTATTAGGAATTTACTAGCTGGATTTCCACAAAAACCTTTGCATGATTGGTGAATGCTATTGAAAATTAGTAAGAGCTACCAGTGATACCGTTGGTTTTATATCCCTTTCAGCTGGGACAGCTGTTAAAACCAAGCATTAAAATAAACTTAGAACTACATCTTCAAATTGTTGCCTTGCCAAGGGTTGATCCAAGATTTAAAAAAAATCACAAATCTTACTCAATTACATTGCTCTTACTAAAAATACTACTGTCAATGATAATATTTTCTTTCTTTTTTTTTTTTTTTGGTGAGACAGTCAGGGTTAAGTGACTTGCTCAGGGTCACACAGCTAATAAGTGTCAAGTATCTGAGTCCACATTTGAACTCAGGTCCTCCTGACCCACAAACTGGAGCTCTATCCACTGCACCACCTAGCTGCCCCAATAATGTTTTTTTGAGGGCAAAAAGATTTTTGTTCTGTCAATAAAATATTCTTCCTAAAATATTGTTTCATCATTAATTCATCATTCTTAATTTGTCTTTGTGCTTCACAATGTACAGAATCTTTAGTGTAGTAGTATGTGTATATAATTTATAAGTAAGTAAATATGAATATATTAGGAACATTCAACATTTATTGATCTGTTTTTACTGATTGCCTAAACAATAAAAAGTTTGGAAATTTCCTTCCAAACTCTCCATTTCAACTAGATTGTCAGTACTGAAACTTAGACTTTTGCCAATAGAGTAGTTATCTTGCATTTTATACAGTGCTCATTACTTATAACATTACTTATAACGTACTCGTAAGATTATTTGTAACAGCCCTGTGAGGGAGCTAGCACATTATTCCAGACTAGAAAAGGCACTTGAGACTCAGAGAGGTATCTTGACCAGTGTTTCATAATACAAAGGGAGGCCCGTCCTCAAAGCCAGGTCTTCTGACTTCCGAGTCTATGACACTGTGAAGTCTGACAGTATTAATAATAATAGTAATAGTAGCTGTGTGCCAAACACTGTGCTGAACATTTGATCTTCACCACCACCCTGTATGGTAGGTGCTATTATTACCCCCCATTTTATAGAGAAGGAAACTGAGACAAATGGGTTAAGTGACTTGTCTAAGGTCACACAGCTAGTAAGGTCTGAGGCTGAGTTTGAACTCAGTACTTTCTGACTCCACACTCAGTGCACTATCCACTGTGTCATTTAGCTGCCCAATGGTTTTAACTAACCAGATCTACACTATTATTTCTACAGTGATATTGTCTATAAAATTATTTCTACAGTAATATTGTCCCCGGTATTTTTCCTTTTTTTTTTTTTTTGGAGGCACAAATCTTCTGAATCCCTAAGATTGTTACCTCTCCGCAGGTTGAGTTCTTAGGTTATATGAATAGGCCTTTAAATATTTATTAAGCTCCCATTACATGCCAGGCACTGTGCTGAGTGCTGGGAATACAATTAATAAAAAGACAGTCCCTCTTCTCAAAACCTCCCTTAAATGGTTTAAAAAGAAAAAGAGAATGTTACTATTGCTTTTCCCAAAGGTCCTGGAGTTCTCAGAGGTAGGGCAGACTCAGGGAGATGGTCCTATTCACATCAGCAAGTTAGACATTTTCTTCTGCTCTTTCTTCCAGTAACTACCACGAGGCGTAGATTTTAGAGTCAGGTAAACACCGGCATTCGTGACCTCCTCTGCAGTGATTGGAAAGAATGTTCCATTGGTCCAGGTGTATGGTGCCACTGAAGTCAGGTCCCACTGGTAGTGAGCTGTCACCAGAGCCAAGACTAGAATCTACCAGCTTCCATCCCCTTGCTTTCGCCCTTCCATCTCACGGCCTTTTGCCACTCACACAGCCCCTTTTTTTCAAGGACAGCTTGCTCGCGTTACTAGGTATATCAAGGAACAAGGGGAAGAGTAGAAGGCAGGGCTGCTTGCCTTCAGCCGGGGATATCCATACCTCAAGCAAAGTCACCACAGTACCAGGTAACGCACAGCCTGATCACGTCGTGTAAGACAGAGTAAGGCGCGTGGCATTGAATGTGGAGAAGGAAAGAGATCATAATGGGCTGTGAAGAGCACACACATGCATGTGAAGTATAGAAAGCCTGTTCTTGAGTTGACTATTTGAAGCCTTTGCATTAGGGAATGAACACCTCCCATTTAGACATCAGTAGGGAATTTGGTGTATAGTATGGAGTCAAGCAATCAACAGATATCTATTAAGTGCCTACTATATACCGGGCATTGAAAGATTTGGGAGTCGGCACTGCCGTCCAACTTTCTGTCCTCCACTTTCCTTCGTTTCTGGTAGACTTGAAGCGATATTCCGAGAGGCAGTGAAGGGTGTGATGCCCTTACTTTCTGTGTGGTCTTGGGCAGATCACTTCCTCTGTCCGGGCCATAGGTATTTCATCTGTAAAAGAAGAGGGCTGGACTTGTCTCTGCTAGCCCTCAGTCCTGGATGCTGTAATCATCATACTAGAGAGATGGATTTTCTTGGCTGCACACTAAGAGAGGGGAATGCCTGCAGGTGTTGCAGCGGGTGGACCTGCCTGTGTGTGCCTGTGCTAGCGAGTGTGATAGTGTATGAAGAACGCTGTGCTCTGTAAATGTCAGGTTGTTATGACTGCCATGCTCCTTGATCCCAGAAGTTCTCATTTTTTGTTTCTTTCCCTTTAGATATTTTATAGGGTAGTCACAGACATTGAACCCGGAGAGGAGCTCTTACTGTACATGAAGAGTGAAGAGTACTCCCATGAAACAATGGCGCCCGACATTCATGGTTAGTAACTTCTCAGGATGGAATGTGTGGTCTGTCTGCTTCAAGCACCGCTCTCAAAGCGTGCTCTGGGAATCTCCTGGAGGGTTCCTCAAGACCCTTTCCAGGGGGCTGAGAGGTCAGAACTGTCTCCATAATTCTACTAAAATGTTTTGATTTCCAGTAATGTAATCATCAATGGGTATAACTCACATAAACAAAAGCTCTTTGGTAGAGTCCTCAGTAATTCTTTTTTTCCTTTTGGCTAGACAGTGGGGTTAAGTGACTTGCCCAGGGTCACATAGCTAGTGAGTGTCAAGTGTCTGAGGCCAGGTTTGAACTCAGGTCTTTCTGAATCCAGGGCCAGTGCTCTATCCACTGTGCCATCTAGCTGCCCCATCCTCAGTGATTTTTAAGAGTGGAAAGGCTTCCAGAGACCACAAAGTTTGAGGACCTTTGACTTGGAGAATGAGTACACGAAAGCAAAACTGACAAATAGAATCTTGTTGGAAATGCCAGTGGAATTGGTAAATTAGAATATTTGCCTGTTGGTTGCCATGGTTACTTAATGCCAGTATGATGGTTTTATGGTGAATATTTATTTTTTTGTCTTGATCTCTGTCCAGCATATTTTGTGAAACTGAGGGAAGCTGATCATTCCCCAGAAAATAGAAAAGGAAGGTTTTCCTGAGCACATACACACACACACACACACACACACACACACACACACACACACGCACACACACACAGAGTACACTAAGATCCTAGACTTGGAACTGAAAGAAGTCTCAGAAGTCCTTTGCGTCTGACCCCTTAATTTTATAAATGATGAAACTGAGTCACAAAGAGAATACATGACTTGTCCAGGGTCAAACAGCTAATAAGTGCGTGAGGTAAAATTCAAATCCAGATCTTCTCGACTCTAGTTCCAGCACACTGTCCACTACACCGGGCTGAAGAAGTTGAAGTTGGAGCCATTGGCTAGAATGCTTTGTCATTGTCCCTCTCAACATAAGAATTCTTTTATCAGTGGTATTTCATACCGATGAGTCTGACTTGGATGAAAGTCATAAAGCTCTGGATAAAGCGATATCCCTTAACAACTTTATTATGGGGAGGAAAAAAGAACGTCTCTCTTGCTTGACACCTGTGAGGTGGTGTTGCATCGAAGCCTAATTACTCGGTGTAGAAAGATCTTGAAAGAGAGCCCTCGAAGTTTCTGTGGAATACAATTGGAGAATTTCAGAGCTACTAAGGACTTCTTTGCCCCAGAATGGGGTGCAGATCTCATCAGCTATAAATAAGTTTGGTGGAATATATCCTGGAGGGAGGAAAGAGAGAGAAAGAGAGAGAGAGAGAGAGAGAGAGAGAGAGAGAGAGAGAGAGAGAGAGAGAGAGAGAGAGAGAGAGAGAGAGAGAGAGACAAAGAAAGAAAGAGTGTGTTTATTTCCCTTGAAGTCTGGAAATTTATGTTAGCCTCTCATGGACCGAGGGTGTATGCGTATATAGGGGATAAGGGGTAGGGAATAATGAATCAGGCAGGATAGTAATCATTAGTTCAGTGGGTCGAATTAGCAGAAGAGTAAATAATGCCTGTAGTGATTTAAGGTCCTGGGAAGTAAGTTTACCATGTCCCTTTTTTTTTTTCCCATTTCTTATCTGCTAAAATATCAACCCTTTTTAAGGACAGAGGCAAGTTTAGCATAAGGGAAAGATCATTGGCCTTGGAGTCTGAGGTCCTGAATTCAGATCACAGCTCTACCCTTTACTCTCTGTGTGACCTTGGGCAAGTCACCTAGCTTTTTATGAAACTCAGTTTCCTAATCTGCAAATTGGGGATAATCACACATAAAAGTGTTATTTGTGGTGAGGAATATATGCTGTATAAAGATGAGATGATTAGTATAATCTAGTGACGCCTTAGATACTGGTGTATTCTTGTATTGTTAGTACATCATAGACAAATAGAATGTGACAATTTGGAGGACTAGCTAGTCCTATCTTCCATTAGTGAGGAGTTCCATCCATTACATTGGTAGATTTCTGTGAAACCTCAGCCCAGTATTGGCGTGGGAGAGAACTCGATCTTAGCAGGGCTGTCTGTTCCACTGCTAAACAGTCCTGCTCGTTGGAAAATATCTACTGTCTGTGGAACTGAAACCCACGGGTTTTCCTTCTATCTGTCGCCTCTTCTCTGGCCTTTTGGGTATGTGGATTGCAAACAAGTGGCATTAGCCCCAGGAAGAGCTACTAGTCTGGGGCACATGAACCTGGCAAAGGGAAGCCTCACTGCTTTTCTAAATTCTGTCTCTCGCACAGCAGGGGAGAAGACTTAGCTAAATGGAAACCAGAATCTGACATCCCTCTGATGTGATGCTTCCTTAAACAATTGTATTTTTAACTTTAAAAGTTTTCCCAACAGTTGTTCTTGCCTCCCCTGCCCACCCCTCCTCCCCTTCAAAAAGCAAATTATTAGTCCCAAAGACAATAAAATGTTATCTTGGATTGAGTGGATGGTTGAATTCCCTTTGGGCCTTTGACTGCTATTCATAAATTATGGGCATTCACGATGCCCTTGATTAAACCACAGTGTTATTCGCTCTGGTCTCATGTGATAGCGTGAGCCCAAGTGCGTCTGTGGCCTTTGTTTATTACTTTCCATTTACAGGAGGCTTAGCATTCTGAGATGGTGACCTATTCCTTTTTAACAGGCCAAAAGCCATGTTATGGGCAGCTCTTTTTTTTCTGACTCACTAACTCACTCACTGTAGTGTCTGTACTGGGAATGGGTTAGTATCAGTTGGGTTCCATGAAGAGAAGCCTAGATTCTAAGAAGAAGGAGATGGTAGGCGCCTTTGCCCAGCCACAGCTGGCTTAGTGGGAGTTCCCTGTACTAATAAAATCACATGTACATGGGTATAGACACTACACATGTACACACACACAAACCATGCTAATTAAAACAGATGCTCAGGCCCAGGGACAAAACGAAACCAGGATGGCCCTGAGTGGGACAGTCCTGTTGGAAAATATGAGTAAGAATGGAAATTAAGTGACTGTGGAGATCACTGACTCAGATCACTAACCTTTAACCTCTCTGGGCCTCAGCTTCCTCACCTGTAAAATGAGGGGGTTGGGCGAAATGACATGTGAAGCTCATGATCTTATAATTCCAGGACTCTATGTCCTTACTGGACCCAAGTGGGATTGTAGGAGAGGGTCTGGTAACAGGTATGGAGAGGAGAGTTCCTTGGCCTTTGGAGGTGTATTATTAATGGCACCGGAACCAGGCAGCTCATTTCTTCTGAACTGGCTTCAACAATCACGAAAAGTTCCAATGTCTTACATAATTTGGTGAGGTCTTTGGCTGGTAGCTGGACATGTGTACTCCCCGGGCTGGGGGAACTGGCCCTGTCTACTTTTCTGTTGCCTCAGCATGTGCCTTCGTTTTTCAGAAGAGCGTCAGTACCGCTGTGAGGACTGTGACCAGCTCTTCGAATCCAAAGCCGAGCTAGTGGATCACCAGAAGTTCCCCTGCAGCACCCCTCACTCGGCATTTTCCATGGTGGAAGAGGACTTTCAGCCAAAGCTGGACAGTGAGAGTGACCTCCGGGAGATGCAGGAAATCCAGGAGTGTAAAGAGTGTGACCAAGTCTTCCCAGATTTGCAAAGGTTAGAAATGCCATCCGCAGAGAAGAGAAGTAGAAGGCGGCTTTCTTTGCTGTAGCGATTCAGTGCCATTTGATAAGTGCCGAGGAGTGTGTTGGGTGGGACATTGGGAAACGACCCGTTTTCGAGTTGGTGTGGCAGGGAATTTTTGAAGGATTGTATTGTTACCTGAAAAAC